TGAGCTGTGATTGTGCCACTGAACTCCAGCCTGGGTGTCAGAGTGAGACCCCTGACTCAAAAAAAAACCCAAAAAACTTTTACTTTACATAATGCAAAATTTAGGTGAGTTATAAGTTTGAGTTTTAAAAGGTAAACATTAAACTTTAAAAATATATGAATTACCTATTGAGTACAATGTATACTATTTGGGTGATGGGTATACTAAAATCCTAGACTTCACCACTGTACAATTCAGCCACACAAACAGAAACCACTGTACGCCTAAAACTAATGAAATAAAAAACAAATAATAAAAAGATATGGTTATATACATAGAAAACCTCAAAGAATCTATGACAAGAATAGGAGAGTTTTGCAAGATGGTTGTGTATACAAGGTCAATATATAAAGGTCGAATAAATATCTCAGCTCCAGTAATAAAAAATCAGGAAATATAATTTTAAAATATATACCAGGGTGCCAAATATATACACATTTTAAGGGGTGTTATCTATGTATTACTTTTTGAAGTTGAGGTACAGTAGCAATGTGTATTATGACGTCCGTTCAAAAGATAGTGTTAATCAAATGAATGCTAGCATCATCATGAAACAGGCAGGAAAGTCAAAGAAAATGGTGGAAGCACAGTTGTTGTTCAAGGAGCACAAGACCATTTTGAAGTCATATTTGAAATGCAAGAACATTGTGGAAGTATAACGACAATGGAGGCATGAGTATGCAACAGAACCTCCAACATGCCTAACAATTGCACACATTCATGATAAGTTTGAGACACATGGTACTGTATATGATGTGCACAAGGGAAGATCTGGGAGGTCTCACACAGCAACAAGTCCTGCAGTAGTTTGCCATAATCAGAAGTGTCTGGATGCTGGTGGTAACCACTATGAGCACTTCTTGTAATTGCAGAAGTCAAGTGGAACTTGTATTCATCTTTTGTTATTAGTATATAGTGTGTATTATAATTTTAATAGAGTTTCTTTCTTAAAATGTGTATATATTTTTGGCACCCTCTGAACTAGTATCAAACTATAATTTTTTTTTTTTTTTTTTTTGAGTTGGAGTCTCACTCTGTCACCCAGACTGGAGTGCAGTGGCCGCTCCTGGCCACCGCAGCCTCGACCTGCTGGGCTCCGGCGATCTTTCCGGCTCAGCCTTCCAAGTAGCCGGAATTATAGGCATGTGCTACCACCAGCTGATTTTTTGATTTATTGTAGAGATGAGGTCTCGCTGCCCAGGCGGGTCTCGAACCCATGGGCTCAGGCAATCCACTCACCTCAGCCTCCCAAAGGCGCGGGATTACAGGCTGAGCCACCGAGCCTGGCTCAAACTATAATTTATAATAGTATCAGACTATAAAATACCTAGGACTAAATCTGAATTCCATATAAAACTTTGCTGAGAGACATTAAATAAATCATATGGAGAGCTATCCCATGTCCATGGATAGACGTAATAACCTAATTATGTCAGTTTTCACAAAAATGGTATATGGATTCAATGTATTCAATCATCTCAAAAGTCTTTTTCATGGAATGTGACTGGAATATTCTAAGAAATACATACAGGCGGGTAAAGGACAAGGAAGCTTCTGAAGATGAAGAGTAAAGAACTTTCCCAATCAGTAACAGGACTTACAAAGTTATAGTGAACACAGAGTGGTGTTGGAGCAGATGTATCAAATTGATACAGCCAGAATTCTACTTTCATATGTAGAATTTTGATGTTGACAGTAGGACTTTTTAATGTAAGAAGATAAAAATAATAGCTTACCCATATGCATAAAAAATAAAATTGCAGCCCTAATTCTCTCACACACAAAATCTACTTCAGAGAGATTAATCACTTAAATGTCAAAAGCAAAACTTCAAATCTTTGAGAAAAAAATATACATGAATAACTTCCTAACCTTGGTGTAGGGAAGGATGTTTTTAAAAAAGAAGTTTCCTAAATCACTAGCCACTAATGCATAAAACTAATTATGAACTTTTCTGTATTAAAAAAGTACCATTAAGAATATGGAAAGGGGCAACCCTCTTAGGTCCCCTCCCACTGTGGGAGCTTTTCTGTCCTCTCAATAAATCCAGCTTTCAAAAAAAAAAAGAATAGGGAAAGACAAGCCAGAGACTGAAAAGATATTTGAAGAACACCTAACTGACAAAGGATTGGTATCAAGACATATAAAAATTTTTAACAAATGAGTTAGAAAAGTACAAACAACCCAATAAAAAGTCAAGGGGCATGATCAGGCATTTTACAGAAGAGTGAACACCTTTGGCAGATACCCATGAAGAGATGCTCAAATATAACAGTGCTCAGGAGACGCAAATCCAGATGTTAGTGGGTGTGCAACACACCTTACTGCTGGCAAGATCCAGAAACCTGGGAAGACCAAGTTCTAGAGAGATTGTGGATTAACTGCATTTCTTGGTTACTGCTAGAGGGAGTGGAGACTGAAGGCACCACTTAGAAAATGACTCTAAGTGTTCTCATGTAATTTGGATATTCACATATCCTAAGAGATAGTATTTCTACCCTCGTACATGAACCAGAAAACTTGTACAAGAACATTCATAGCAGCACTGCTCATGCCAGTCAAACACAACCTACGTGCTTTCTGCACAGAGAGTGAGAGAAGAAGAGCTGGTAAATTCACCGAATGGACTCTACACTCAATCATGGGTGTGAAGGAACTGCAGCCACCCATGGCAGCAGCAACCAACTTCAGTCCAAGAATGCTGAGTGAAAACACAAGTGTAAAAATCACACACAGCAAGATACCTGTCTCGCAAATAAAACCCACATATTGTTTAGGCATACATGTGTGTATGATAAAATCACTCCTCCCTACCTTCTACTATATAAAAAAGGAATTATAAATACAAAATTCAGGATTATGGTTAACTGGAGGGAGAGACCAGGGAGTACAACAGCAAGATATATTATTGTTCATGTTCTAGATCATGGATTGGGTTCTAGATTTAAAGGCCATTGTTTGGCTGGGCTCGGTGGCTCAGCTTGTAATCCCGCACCTTTGGGAGGCTGAGGTGAGTGAATTGCCTGAGTCCGCGGGTTCGAGACCCGCCTGGGCAGCGAGACCTCATCTCTACAATAAATCAAAAAATAAGCCGGGCGTGATAGCGCGCGCCTGTAATTCCGGCTACACGGAAGGCTGAGGCGGAAGGATCGCCGGAGCCCAGCAGGTCGAGGCTGCGGTGGCCGGGAGCGGCCACTGCACTCCAGTCTGGGCGACAGAGTGAGACTCCAACTCAAAAAAAAAAAAAAAGGCCATTATTTTATTAAAGGCTAAGTAAACTAAATAAAATTGTAAAATTGGTTGGCATAAGTGTGACATGAAACAAAGATTATGATTAATTTTGCACATCTGGGAGTCATTAAAGATTCTACTTTGCAGCCGGGCTCAGTGGCTCAGCCTGTAATTCCGTGCCTTTGGGAGGCTGAGGTGAGTGGATTGCCTGAGCCTGCGGGTTCGAGACCCACCTGGGCAGTGAGACCTCATCTCTACAATAAATAAAAAAATCAGCCGGGCATGGTAGCGCACGCCTGTAGTTCTGGCTACTTGGAAGGCTGAGGCGGAAGGATCACCAGAGCCCAGCAGGTTGAGGCTGCGGTGGCCAGGAGCGGCCACTGCACTCCAGTCTGGGTGACAGAGTGAGACTCCAACTCAAAAAAAAAAAAAAGATTCTACTTTGCATGTTATCACTTAAAATCATCATGCACCCCACCAAGGCATGAGCACCTGCTGTTGGCAAACACCTCATGATTGCAATGATCTTGGGCCCAGCCCTGGGGACCCCTTGAATCTCTTCTGCAAAAGAGACCCAGGAGAGCTAATTCATGCCCCTTAAATTTCTGAGTTCTATGTAATGGAATATCTAATATTTTAAGGGCTGACATAATGCAACCCATCTGATGAAATGTTGATTTTAGTTCACTTAAACAACAATATGAATGTCCTCACTCTGAATGAACCACACCTTAAGTAAGTGAATCCTTCACTGACTGTATCTGATGCACAAACCAATTACCTTGGTGCTCACAAGGCTAAGAGCAAATTCAGACCTCAAATGGTGAGGGGAGAATGTTAAACTCTGGGTTTAGTGGCGGTTCGCTTGATGAGTATAGGTGTTCTTGAGGAAACTGGGGGCAGGGCCTTGCAAGGGAGACCACGCCTTTACCAAGTACCAGCCCTTCCTTGGGGTTGGATTGATGGGTGATCCCAACCTGAGCCTGTGATGTGATAGAGAAGGTCTACTGGGTCCTAGAAGAACTGTTCATTAGAGGAACTGTTCATTAGCCCCAAAGGGTTGGTAGAGTGAGAGTCTGACTTAGGATAAGGAACATGCATCTGTCCAAAAAAGACAGCCCAAAGAGGAAATGCCTTGTGAGCTGTTGGGCACTTCTACTGCAGGTGCTGAGGTGCACCTTCTCATGAGTGCACCTTCTCATGAGCACTAGGCTCAGAGACTATCCAGGTCCTGTGCAACTCCGGTGTCTACAGGGCCTAGCTTGCCAAGCCTGGGTGGGCATTCCTCTAGCTGGGGCTCTCCCCGCAGCTGCTGCCTCCTCTGCCTCCCACCATCCTGACTCAATGTGCCCCTCTATGGAGAAGCAAGGGGTGGAAGGCCCAGGGTGGGGGTTCTGCTGCACGCAGGGGAGAAGAAGGGAAGGATGGAGAAGGTCATCTGCAGAGATCAGAGGTAGAGCCCACCTCACCAACACAGACCCTGGTGATTTGGGCTTGTGGGGGAAGTCCTGTCCCTGTCTTGTCCCCCATCTCTAAAAGGATGGGGCGCCACTGCCTGGGTGGTGTGGCTTACCTCGCCTCTCCCAGGCTGGAGTGCTCCGCTGCCCCCGGGTAGGCCTCGTGCCTCCCAGTTCCTCACCGTGGGTAGTCTTCTCCTGCCTGCAGCCTCTAAGGAATGAGGGCAGTCAGCCCCAAAGTCCCTCTCCCCACCCCCAGCACGGTTGACTTACTTTCGACGTCTTTGTCACTGTGTTCGGGGAGCTGGAGGGCCAGGCTGACCTGCTTGGGTGCCTCCTCCATGTTCTCAAGCTGTGGCAGGGCTGTGGGTACTAGGAGAGGCCAGGCAGTGACTACATGGCACAGCTGCTTCATGCCCAGGATGGTCCCTCCTGAGCAGCTTCTCTGCCTCATGTGTAGGCATATCCCTGGTGGGGGCCTGGCTCCCAATGTGGTAATGCCTGCTCACCTGTGGGTCCCAGCAGTGCTTCCGCTGGAGGTCTGCCCCTACCCTCCTGCTGACCCTCTGCAAGGACCCAGTCCTCCATTTGAAGGACCCACCAGAGCTACTTTGGGGGGTCACCAGTAACCCACGCTGAGAGGCCTCCTTCTCCTCACAGCTGATACCGTTACTCTCTCCTTCTTAGAGTCAATTCTGCTTTCCTCTCCCTCCACCCCCTGCTTTTTGAAGTTATCACGTCTCTTCCTCTCTCCGATCTGCTTTCAGTCTCTGTGTGCTCCTGCCCCTGTCCACAACTGCAAGTCACTTCTGTGCAGAGTTCTCACCTGCTCCCTGGGCATTTTAAATCTGCTCCTGTGGCTGCAAGTCTGATGGGCCCTGCCTCTGCACCCCACATTCACCTGCTCACCACTGAGCATCTGTTTTCATGTTATCACTTAAAACCATCATGCACCCCATCAAGGCATAAGCATCTCATGTTTGCTAACACCTCATGATTGTAGCTGCCTCCCTATCTTCCCAGACCCCTTGTCCTGGGTTCTCTTCCTGCGTGGCAGTGACCCTGAGAGCTCTGGCACCTCCTCATCATTTTCCCTGCTGTGTTCCCTTCCCTTCCCTTGCCTGAGAAGTTTTGACTGGTTAAACATTTTCACTGAACTGGTGACTAGGCTCTCTGTTGGGGAATTCCATGAGGATGGGCACCTGGCCTCGCAAGTGAGAGGCAAGATCCAGAAAGGTCCTCTGGGGAAGTCCACCACCCACCTCACTTCTGTGGAGCATGTCTCAGGGCTCCTGTATCAGAATCACAGGGAGATTCCTGGATCCATTCTCACCTGATAAGCCAGGGCATTTCAACCCATCTGCCTTGGGGCTGTCGGGATGACCTTGCTAGGGACAGTGACAGGATTGCTCATGCCCTGTGGTGCTGGGCAGGGCTAAGAGGCCCAGCAGCCTGCCCCAGATGGCCCAGCCAGTCCAGGCTTCAGCAGGACCAGAACCTAGAAGTTCTGTCTATGGAACTTGAAGTAGCCTCTCAACTTGAAGTGAATGCATGCTCCTTGGACTGAGAATTGCCCAGCTCCATGTTGAAAGATAGATTCCAACTGATAGCTCTGGGTGGGGTTCTGCACTTCTGGAGGCTCCCAGACAAGACTGGAGCTGCTGGGCCAGAGCCACACTTTGAGTAGCAAAGAATTAGACCCTCAAGGCCTCCTGCCTACAGATTTACTAAGCAAAACTTTGGAGTCTTAACTAGGCAAGCAAAGCTTCTGTAATGTCTGAGACCTACTTCTAACATTTTTATTTTTCATCTTCTCTTGCATCTCCTGCCAGCAATCTATCCCTTCAATCCAATGGGCAAAGTGAAGGCTCTTTACAAGGCTGTCCTCCTGCTGTGAGTGGTATATGCTGTTGGTGCTGCCTTCAGGAGTCCAGAGCTTTGCACATGGTTGGGGTCAGGGCCCCTGGCTGGAGAGTGTGTTGGACACTGGAGGTAGTATCATGATATAGGGACAGGGCCCAGTGAGATTGGCAGTGAGGCCGAGAGTTGGCCACTGAGTTAAAAGACTTACGTGATCTCATGGTGACTGCTTTGCTGGGTGGGTTGCTGAACCTGGCACTCACTCTTCCTCTGCCATCCACAAGCTCCGAGAACCTGCAGAGAGGGAAGAAGGGTCACCACAGCTGGAGCACTGCCTCAGATGGGTGACAGCTAATGGCTAGGGGGATACCTGGGGGCTTGGGTTGGTGTCTCAGAGGCACCGTGGTCGTTGAGTAGGCGCAGCTCTGGCAGGCGAACTGGAGGTGGTCTGTTTCTGAGCACCCGTGGGTGGTGTCCTCCCTGGTGCCAGCGTCTGTCGGCGTTGTCCCTGGGGGCTGCAGGGCAACAAGAAGGAAGAGGAGTGGCCACACAGGGCTGGGTTACCCTTTGCTCCTGTCCCACCCCTGCTGCATAGGAGAGGCAACTCATACTCTTCGTAGCTCATATTCTTCAAGAAGCTCATACTTCTTCAGCTGTGTCTGAAGAAGGGTGGGGGGAACATGTGTATGGGCTGTGGCCACAATGGGGTTTATGTCTCCCCAAGATGCCCTGGAGCCCCTGTTTCCTTCCAGCCTGCTGGCTGCATCCCTTCTGAGGAGGAGCCACGTACATTCATGACACAGATGCACACTGGCTTAGGAGTTGCAAGGGGTCCATGTCTAGGTGCTGGCCCCAGCTCCCCACCAAGTTCTCCATCTGCAGGGCGGGAGCTGGGCACTCAGACTTGGTTCTAGGCTGCCCAGAGACACAGCCATTTCCCCAAGCTGGCCTTCCTAATGGGATGCCTTGGCTGAAGCCCCTACCCTGGCACACGCCTACAGAGTGAGGGTGCAGTATGTCACCTTTACCAGTGTCCTTCAGCCTTCCAGACTAAGCACCCTCCTCTCCCCAGAAGTCCCTCCTGCCCTCTTCCTCCCTGTTTCATGCTGACTTGGTTGTACTTGACCAGCTCACAGAGAGGGCCCAGCCTGCCCTTTCCACATGGTAGTTGTGCTTGGAGCCAAGCTGGTGGGCGGGTGGCAGAGTTGGGTCTGAGAACTCTCCAAGTGTGTGTATTTTGTGCCCTCAGTGACAGCCTCATGGGTTGGGGGGAGGAGGGAGACCTGGGAATACCTCAAGGTCCAAGCCCCCTCCTTGGGGGAGCCCGTCTGTCTGCTCTCCGGGCTCTTTTCTATCCGCTGCTTGTCTGCTTGCACTGCTCAGACACACAGTTTTTTCTCACAGCAACTTTTTGGAGTTTTAAAGATGTAAGTGAGGGTGGGGGTGGGGAGGTTATGTAGGACCCTGGTGGAACCTGGCAGGGCCACCTCTGTACTTGGGAACTGACCTATGATCTTAGTGAATGCATCTGGGAGCTGTACCCCTAAGCTGCATCTGTGCGCACCGGCATTCCTTTCTGCCCTACATGCCCCTCCTTTCCTGTTCCTCCTGGCCTCTCTTGCCTGCCTGAGTTCATTTCCAGTGGCTCCAAATAGGCCAGGTCAGGGCTGCAAGACCACTTCTGGAAGCCCCCTCCTCACTACCTGCCCTAAGCACCTGTTTTCAGGCAATGCTCTATATTTACTGCCCAACCTGTCTAAGATCTACTGAGGGGTCTGGCTCAAGATGAGACTCGACATGCTTATTTTTCCAGTTTGTTAGTGCTGTCTGTCCATGAGTGGATTCGTGGATTTGAAAAGCCTCGAAGTTTACACGAACTTCTCTGTATTAACACAGTCCTGTTTCTAGGCTCTTTCTGGTGCCCTGTAGGCAGTGTGGTCCATACTAGTTGAGGGTTTCAAGGTTCATCAGAATAACCTGTCTCTCCTGGACATGGATGCCACAGCCTGGGCCCCACAGCCTCCAGATGCGAACCATGTGGAGGACTGGCTGACACTTACTCCCACCCCATTCCCAGGGTCCAGTGGTACTCACAGGTGATGATGTAGAGGTGAGTGGGCTCACTATGCAGTGGGCCATGCTCTGTGCTCTGCACTGCTGTCACTGAGAGCTGGTACCGCCGTCCTGGCAGGAGGTCACGCACTGTGTAGGATGCCAACTTCCCATTGGGGATGTAGCGGCTCTTGGTGCTCTGGCTGGTGGTCACATTGATGATGTAAGCCTCCAGCAAGGCACTTGGAGTGGGGGTATCCCAGACCACGAGGGCAGAGGTGGCTGTGACTCGAGCGGCAGTCAGATTTGCTGGAGGCAGAGGCCCTGGATAAGGCAGGAATAGGGGAAAGGTAAAAGGTGGGCCCACAGGGTCTTCTGGCAAGGATGCAGTTTAAAGATCTGGCACAGGTTGCTGAAGCCAGGTTCTTTATTATGGATGACTTTACAGTCCTAAGGAATGGTGTGGAGTGTGCATGCAGTGATAAGGGCATGCAGCAGTGCTGCAATCCTGCCCTAGAGGACTGCCTGTCCCAGACACTACCCTCCCCTTGGGTTTGGATTCACCCAGCGAAGTCCCCATGCCCTTGGTTTATAAGTCGGTACCCTCACATATTGTGCTTTTGGTTTTCCTGAGCCTGGCTGCACAGACCCCTGCTTCATGAGTCTTTCCCATGCCTTCTCGATGGGCAGCCCTGGAGCTTGGAAGGCAGAGTCATCCCCACCTGGCAAAGTCCTGTTCAAGCCTCCACTCCACAGATTACCTGCAACCTCCCCTCTTTCTGGTGACACCAGAGCTTAGCTAGGTTGGGCTGGTCACATGGTCCAAGAGCCCTGATGGCATAGGCATCCTTGGCCCAATGTGCTCCTTTGGCCCTTCAGTAGTATTCGTAGGTGGGCTGCATTGAGGAGATGCCAGGAGCCTTTGGGTGCTACGGGCTGCCCTGGACAACTGTCCCCAGCAGGAGGATCTGGACCAGCTTAGCACAGTAGCTCCTGTGGAAGAGACCTCAGGGAGGAAGAGACCTCTGGGAGGCCAGGGGCTGGGTTTCTAGTGTTGGGGACACTTTGGGAAGGACTGATGGATGCTGGGGGCAGGTTATAACTTCTAGAAGGACCTGTGTGACTCAGGGGCCATGCTGCTCTACTTACTGGTCCACACGCGCATTGGTGTGGTGGCCAGGCTCTCGGTAGGATGCTCCTCTCCCCTGAGCCCACTAAGAGTGGTCACCTGGATGGTGTATCTCCTTCCTGGCAGCAGGGCTCTGTGGGGAGTAGAGGGAGGAAGAGAGGAGAAGAGGAACATCTGGGGGGCCTGTGTCTGACTCTGCTGGAAGGCTGTAGCTCCCTCAAGCAGGATGTGAAAGTGGTGTGGGCCATCCTCCTACTGGTGGTTCAAGCCATCTCCATGAGGAGACAGATTTATGGCCCTCAGATTTGTGGGCAAGTAGGTTGGGAAACTACTATCCAGTCTGTCTAGTCCAATGAAAGGGGCCAAAAGGGTTGGGTGCTCTTGGGGCAGTTGCAGTGTGGTCAGAGGGTTGGTGTTCAGATGGGAGAGGCCAGAAAAGGAGCAATTGGAAAAGGTAACTGTGCAGAAAAGAGTTACAAACAGGCCTGAGTGCCCCCTCAGAAAGGCCTGCTTGCAAAGGTGACCCTGGGCTGGTGTCTGGGAACTTGAATTTCAAAGGGAGGCACTCTAGCAGATCAGAGGGGCTCACTTTGCTAAGCTGTGCAAACATAGCAGTTCATACTGAGCACCTGCCTTCCTCCTGGGAGTCTGGATTTTCACATGCACCAGGCAGAGGGTGCTGCTTGACTAGTCCTTGGAACAGCCCTGGGTGCTGAGTTTCTGAAGGGCTTCCCTGGTTGGGACTGAAATCGTTTGCCCTCACAACTTGTTGGGGAATGGAGTGTGTCCTGTGTGACTCCACAAGGAGAGAACTCTGGAAGCTCATGCTTGGTTTCCCCTGGACTTTGCCCCAGGTGCCTTTTCCCTTTGCTGATTGTGTTTTGTATCTTTTGTTTATAACAAATCACAGTTGTGTGTGAGTGCAACTCTATACTAAGTCTGGTGAGTCCTCCTAGAGAATTGCTGACTTGGGGTGGTCAGGGGACTATGACACAGTCAACAGGTGTCCACCTGGCCCAATTATATTTTTGTCATAAGTTAGCTTCAGTCATTCTTTGGAAATGTAAGGATACCAGGATGTAAGTCAGAATACACAGCAACTCACAGCAACATTGAAAAGACAAAGAAAGCAGAGTGTGGAAAGATGGCAGAGCAGGAAGCGCCAGGAATCTGGCTCCCCATCCAGATAACTGTACCAGCAGGATTCGTCTGAGGTCCTATTTTAGAACTTTGGGGCCCATTGAGGTTTTACAACTTCCAGGGGGAAGACTAGATGGTAAATTGTGGTTAATTTTGATCAATTTCAGCTCTTAACACGGTAGCAGTCACCCATCCTGCACTTCTCAGCTCTGGGGTGGCTGGTGTGCACGTGCTCCTGGAGCAACCTGCACACATCTTTCCTGAGCTATGGTGGGCAGTAAGGGTCCTGTCCTCCAGACATCAGGGATCTGTGCTCTGATCCCTGCTGCTTCTGATCAAGGAAGTGCAGACAAAGAGGTGGATGGCTGAAGTAACTTCCAAGGAATTTACTTTTCCCTGCCCCCTTCACTTTTCTCTTTTTCCTCTTTGAGGAGCCAGATATTAAACAAAGGTAGAGTTAAAAACAACTGCAGATATGGAGAGAATTAGGAAGTGACCGCATATGCTCAGGAAAAGATACAGGCTCAGAAAATACCTGTGAAGACCTTATGCTTACATCTTAGACTGATCCAGAGGCACAGAGAGAGCCTACAATAATCTACTAAAACAGGGTATGTGTGATGACTGACACCTGTAATCCCAGAACTTTGGAAGGCCAAAGTGGGAGGATTACTTGAGACCAGGCATTCAAGACAAGCCTGGGTAACATAGTGAGAAACTGTCTATTTAATTTGAAAATTAAATTTAATTAAAAAACACAAAAATGCAAGGAGGAGAATATGAATTCCAGAGTTACCACATTATTCTATTCAAATGTCCAGTTTTCAACAACAACAAAAAAATCACAAGGCATCAAAGAGAAAAATATTACCCATTTAAAGGAAAAATAAGTAAGCAGAAATTGTATCTGAAAAAAGACATGATGGCAGATCTACTAGACAAAGACTTTAACACAGCCTTAAAGATGCACCAAAAAAATAAATGTATGGAGAAAAGAAAAAAAAAAGAGTAGAATGGAAATATCAACAAAGAGACAGAAAACCTAAAAAGTGTCCTGGTGCTGCAACTCACAACTGTAATCCTAGCACTTTGGGAGGCCAGTGAGAGGATTGCTTGAGTCTAGGAGTTTGAGACCAGCCTAGGCAATGTAATGAGACCTCACTGGACAACACAGTGAGAACCTGACTCAAACAAAACAAAACAAAACAAAAACTAAACAGAAACTAAAATTCAGGAGCTGGAAGACAAAGAAAGCATAGCCTTGTTCTCAGCACATTGCCCATCCAGTTGGAGGAAAAAATACACTTGGAAAAAATGGTCATGGTCTGTGCAAATAACAAATATGAAAAATGTGTAGGTAGCTTGAAGGCTGTAGAGGGGTGGACAGCACCCTGGCTGTGGGGGCTGAATCTGGAGCCTCACCTTGCCTTGCCTCCCTGAGTATACTCTGCAGCACCTGTTTTACAGAAACTCCTCCTAGGACCATGGCTGGTGACTGCTCTGAGATAGACAGGGCTTAGATGTCTCCACTGAGCTGACCTGAATATCTGCTGGCAGAGGCACATGTGATTTCATGGAAATCCTCTCAGCTGGTGCTGTGTTTACTCTGCAGGCCCAAGAAACCACAGGACAACATGGGACTAATGCCACCCCATTCCCAGAAAGCTGCTGTCTAGAGTTTGTTTTCCCGATCACTCTCTGCTTGCTACTTCCAGCACCTGCCTGCTCTGAGCAGGAATCTGCAGTCCTCTCTCGGCTGGCAACCAATCCTCAGGGATCCACCATGGGACCCCTGGAAGAACTCTAGGCTATCCCCACCTACCTTCCCTGACTGCTGCTCTCTGGGTGACCAAGTCAATCTCTCTCAGTCTGTACAGGAGGCATACCCAGGTTTTCAGAGGTTTCCCTGCTCTTTCTGGGCACTTTAAACAAGACCATGGTGCTTGATCCTCATGGTGGCCCTGACAAGGTGAGATAGGAGTGAGACCTCCAGGATCTGAGGATGGCTCATCTAAGACTTCCACCTTTACCCGGGTGAGGAACACATGAAGAATATGACCTAGTAGACTTGGGCACCCTGTGTCCCCGAGGCCCCACCCCTTCCCTCACCGCAGTCATGCACTCTGGGTGTCTCTTCTTACCCAAATGTGAACCTGTCCACACTCTTGTCCACATCGGTGGACTGGTCCTCAGGGACCTCAGGGTGGCGGATGGATACTCGGACCCCACTGATGGTGGCGTGATGGATCCTGTGCAGAGTCCACTGCACTGAGATGGTGCTGGCCGTCACATTGGTGACCTCAAAGCTCTCAACAGGGTGGGGTCCTGGAGGGCAACAGGCCACTCAGCAGATGCTGGCCCCTCCTCACTCCCGGGGGAGTGTGGGGCTCAAGATGATACAAGGCATGGAAGAACACGGGGGGCCATAGGGATGTGACTGGAGAGAGGGGACTGGCCAGCCTTGAGTTGCCAGATGAGTCCCATCAGCCACTCAGCGGTGACTTGAGTGGGGTGGAGATGCCCTGATCTCTAGCCTCTATGCAGCTGCCTCAATGGCAGCTGCAGACGGCCTACTGTGGGCATCTCCACCAGAGGCAAGTGCATCTTGGTCCCAGTTAAGATATGACAGTGACATGCCATGGGTAGAGAGGAGTCCTTCCTGACATGGTGACCCTGGACGTCCCCTTTTCTTTGCACTGGTTGACTGCTTTGGTCTAACAGTGAATGTCTGGGCATGGTCTGGGCAATGCTGGAGCAGAGGGATGGAAGTGCAGAGAGTCCTCAGTGACCGTAGGGAAGGGGCCACTGTGAGCTCAGTTTCCTGTTCATCTTGTCTTCTTGGAAACTCAAGTGCCACTGCTGAGGGGTCAGGTAGGGGCCCAGAGGGTGGTACTTGGCACCTCAGTCCATGGACAGTGTCCTGTCCACCCGCCACAGTCTACTGAAGCCCCCACTCTGAAGAGGACAGGGAAGAGCCTCCTTCTTCATTCCAGATGCCTTTCAAGGGAAGACTCCATCAGGGGCAGCCTTGCAGGCACCGCCTCCTAAAGCTGACCTCAGGATGAGTCCACTCCCCCACTTAGTCCCTGGTGACTCCCATTGCCCACCTGCTCAGTGCCACCTGCAGGTGCGTCCCAAGGCTCCCAGCTGGCTGGGGTGTGCTGTGTCCTCAGTGTGCTGGGAACTCTGGCCTCTCGGCTGTCACCTTCTACAGGACAGGTCCCTGTGGGCTCCCCCAGGTGGGCTTGGGCTGTCCTGAGTTCCTCATCCCGTTCCTTATGTGGTCCCCAATGCCTTCAGTGTTGGCAACCAGCCAGGGGCCTATGGGGTACCAGGATGCCTTCCTCCCGCAAGCCCCAATAAGCTCCTACCCATCTATATCCCTCCTCATCCACATGCTTCTCTGCATGCTTCTGGCTGCCCCTGCAGAGCCTACCTGAATTCTGATTATCCAGCGACTACACTTTTTGCAGTCCATACTCCAGTGCCTTTTCCTTTTTCCTTGAGCCACCAGCACCCCTTCCCCATTCTTGTTCTTATCTCTTGAGTACACAGGCCCCACGGCCTTGTATCCACCCTTGGTTCCTGCCCAGCCTTTACTGAGAGAGTGCCTGTGCTCTGGTTGTTGTGGGCCAGGCTCTGTGAGGGCCAGTCATCTGCTTTGTCCTGGATCCCACCCCTGGCTATCCATGGGCATGCTTCAGGGATTCTTTCTACTCTGTTGAATCATCCCCAGCGCAGACCAGTAAGTAAAACCCCCAAAGCCTTCTCTAGATGCCCCTGCCATTTCCTATTCCCTTTCACAGCAACATTCTGCCCACTGTTCAGTCCTCGACTCTCTCTCTTGAGCAGCTCTGGTGTCCTCCACTTGGCTGCAGCCCACCCAGCACGTGGGTATAGTCAGTCACCCCTTCCTCCTCAAGTCACTGCTTCTCAGTCTCCTGGATTCCTCCTTGCCTGGTCCCCCCAGGCTCTTTGCTAGTTCCTCCTCAGCCCCACTCCTGCATGAGGAGACCCTTTCCTCCTCTACCTATGCCCTCTTGCTTGGGGAGTACATCTGGTCATGGCCTTCAGTGCCAGCTACAGGCCAGAGGCTCCAGATCTGTTACTATAGTTGGGCCCTGGCCGACAGCTCTACAAGAAGGAGCCACAGATGCCCCCTCTTAGCATGCCCTCCAACCCTGCCCATCCCAGCAAGGCGACTCCCCTCTCACACTCTCAACAGACCTGCAGAACATTCCAGAGTCCCACTCCTCTCTAAGCCTACCTCCCCTACCTCCTAGCTCTCCCACTGGCTCCTCCCAGGCATTGTCTCAGGGAACTCCCCTACGCATTACTCGCCAGCCTTGATTCCTCAAAACCTATTGCCTGCTGTTTTTGTTATTCTTACTCTATTCTGTGTGTCTGTATTTCACACGTGTGTGTTGTTTATTGACCTGAGAAGGTCACCTCTGGGCACAGTGCTGTCTTCTCCACCCTCTGTCCGCAGCACAGGTCGCTGCCTCCACCCTGCAGACTACCCTGTTGTTGGGAGAACATGTGAGGTGAACAGTCCTACCTGCCCCCCCTCAGGTGCCTGGCCAGTGCTGCTGTCAAGGTGGGTTCTTAGGTTGTGGGGTCAGGGCAGGGATGGCCAGGCTCTGGTGAGCACTCACGCGTGCGGGTGAGTAGCACCGCAGGTCTGCTGATATCGTTCTTGTTGTTGGTGTTGCGCTTGACAGAGAAGATGGAGATGTTGTAGGCCCTGCCAGCCGCCAGGGCCCGCAGCTGGTGTGAGGAGCGGCTCCTGTCCACAAAGTCTGTGCGGCGGTAGGAGCCATCAGAGGAGACATAGGTGACCGCGTAGCCGTCAAGCATCTGTCTAGCAGCCGGACCATCAGGTGGATGCCAGGAGATGGAGACCCCACTCTCCTCCACTCTCTCCACCTTGAGGGCCGTTGGCGGGAAGAGCTCTTCAGGATTCAGGTCAAAACACAAGGGGAGTGGTCAGATGTCAGCCCTGCAAGCCTGGCCCCATCAGGCATTCTGGGTCCGGGCTCTCGGACCTGGTACATCCCCCATGAATTCCTTCTTTGTCCTGGCATGTGCCTCCTGGAGGTTCACATTCTGCACCTTGACTGCATTTTATGCCTACCTGGGTGTTATATCCCCCTCCCTGTTTCTCAGGGAAGGAGACTGGGTAAGCAATTGGTGGATGCTCTGCCTTTGGGGACCGTTGGGACCTCTGGGGGATGAGGGGAACCCCCACAACTTTCCCCATTACGGGCACCCTCACCTTTGACGCAGTCCTGGCCGGTGTAGCCCACTTTGCAGATGCAGCTGTGGGACCCATTGGTGGCCAGGCAGTAACCACGGCCCCCACAGGGGCTGGAGAAGCAGGGGTCACTTACTGAGGGGAAGGGAAAACAGCAGTGAGTGCTAGGACATCACCAGGTCCCCCACTCCAGCCGGCCCTTACTTCTGAGGTATGGGTCTTTCCTGCATGTGTGTGTGTGTGTGTGTGTGTGTGTGTGTGTGTGTGTGTGTGTGTCTATGTGGTGGGGGGTGTCAATGGGAGAAGTGCACCATAACAGCACCTACCTTCCTGCAGTTTTGCTGCCTTTGCTGCCCTGTGGTGGGGCCCAAACTCAGCAGCCCCTCTACCCTCCACTCAACCAAGACAGGTCAGGCTGCCACCCCTGTGACATTCCTGTTAGAGGAGGGAGACTGGACAGCAAGTGGAAGAGGCAATTCCAGGGCATCCAGGTGCAATGAAGGAAGGCAGGGTTCAGGGAGCAGAGTGCTGAGTGGGGATCCCCTGCAGATCAGTGATCAGGGAAGGCCTCACCAGTAACCACACTGTGAGTTGATCAGGGGAGAGTATTCCAGATGGAAGGGACAGAAAGGGCTGGACCTGGGGCTGCAATGAGCTCGACCTGTCCAAGGACAGCAGGACCTGTGTGTGTGGATGTGAGACCATAGCTTGGGGGTATACTCAGGGTGAGGTGGGGCCGTGGAGGAGGGTGAGTGCAGGAGATGGGGGGCACACTTGAAAGGCACCATCATGGAACCAAGCAAGACCAGAGGGAGAGTCACTGGCTTGAAGTCTGAGAAGGGTTCTTCTGAGGAGGCAGCCATAGAGCCCCAGGGGAGCAGGTGGCCCTGCGCCCCTACCTGTCTCACAGTGGTAGCCGAAGAAGCCCTCTGGGCAGACGCACAGGTAGACCCCGCCGCCATTCTCACACCGGCCTCCGTGCTGGCAGGGGCTGGAGTCACAGGCGTCCACCTCTGGAGAACACCCAGAGAGTGGGCCCAAGCCGCAGGGGGGGAGTCTAGGGGAGGGAGGAGAGGACAGCGGGAAGAAGGGAAAGGGGAGACGAGGGGCAGTGGCCAGGAGAGAGGGCAGTGGGCAAGCTCTCGGGGTGGGAGGGGCTCTTGGGGAACCTTTCTGCTTTCACACCACCCTCCCCAGGTAACCAGAAGACCTGGGTGTCATTCTCCACAGTGGGCATGCCCAGCAGGGGATCCCCAGCTCCTTTCTGATCTTTGAGCTGCCCAGACTCTGCATCTGAGGATCCACTGGAGGGAAGCCCCTACCTGTCTCACAGTGGCCTCCAACGAAGCCTGCAGGACACTGGCAGACATAGGCCCCTGGCAGGGCCCTGCAGGAGCCTCCATTTCTGCAGGGTTGTGTCTGGCATTCGTTCATCTCTGCACAGAGAAAGGATGTTGCTGGTTCAGGTCCGAGGCTCCTGCACATTCCCCAGAATTCTATGTGCTCCCCGACGAGTAACATTGCCCTGAGGTTCCAGCCACTGCTCTGGACAATGGACTTTTCCTCCATCAGCCCCCACTTGCCCCTCCTTGGAAGGCATGCCACCTCCATTGCCTGTCAGCAGAGCCCCCACCCCAGACCACTCCTGCAGTCCACAATGGGAGGCTCTCCAGGGGTCACAACTGGACATGGCTCCCCAGGCCTTGCCCTCCCTGGGGACTGGAGTCCGTCTCTGGCTTAGAGCCCTACAAAGGTACGAGGCTTGCTGGGCACGCCTCCCCTTCCTCCACTGGCTGGCAGCACTGGACCAGGCATCAGAGGCCGTGACATGTCCTCTTCTCTGCCCACCTTCTCTGCCCCCTGAGGCCGTGATATGTCCTCTTCACCGCCCACCTTCTCTGTCCCCTGAGCTCTCAGTCTCCCAGGGGAGGTGGAGGCACAGATGTCTGTGAATCTCTATCTGGCATGTGAGAGCTGGCAGGGGCCTGAGAGAGCAAGCAGTGGCCAACATGGCCATCCAGTCAGAGACCTGTCTAGGAAGAGGAGTGGCTGGAGCAAGGTGGCTGTGGCCAGGGGCACCAGTGCCTTCTGGCATGTGGTCAAGGTGCTGAAGCTGCTTCCCCATGGGGTCCAGGACCCATCTTACCCAGCTCACAGTGGGCTCCCTCATATCCTGTGCTGCAAAGGCACAGGTACCCAGAGACACGGTCTTGGCAGGAGCCCCCATGCAGGCATGGCTGAGATCGGCACTCGTCGATTTCTGAGAGGACAGACCCCAAGAATAAAGCAATGTGGCTGTTATTAAGCCAAATTAAGATAGACACAAATGAGCTTTGAGGAGCCAGAGAGAATTCTATGATATCTTCTCAGTGCCTGGGGAGGTCGGAAACCAGAGTTAGATATTCTTGGAGGGAGGTTGGGGTGGAGGGCCCGGAAATCCGTGCCTGGCTATGTCTACAGAATGACAGGGCACGCTCAGAATCGCTGTAAGGGCTCACAAAGACACAGTGGGATTAAATTCCAGTGGCTCTCAGATGGACGGACCCAAAGGCTTCAGAGGTTTGGTAGAAAACTTTTTATGCCCATTCTTGCCATTTCAATGTATAATCATCATGTATAAAACCAGTACATGTGGGGACAAATCTTTAATTTTAAAAGATTCACCACAGTTTCTTTTAAAACTGGGAGCTGTGCTCTGGAAGTTAAATGTCTAATTTTAGAAAAGTTTAACTTTAATGCTTAAAAAGTAAGTAAATAAATGGTAATGATTTATTGACACCTAGGACTAGCACCTACTCTGGAAGATGGAAAGTTGATGGCTCTTCCGACCACATACCCTCCTTTTCCCTTGTAACACGAATCTCTGTGGTTATCATGTCTTTGCCTTTTTAAAATTAGTCTTTAAAATTTTATAAATTGCCTAAACAATATATGGTTTTGTTTTTTAATGAAATTTTAACCCAGGATATTGTGATATGTGTTCTCTTCTCTCAGCATTATAATAGTAAGAGATCTCCATATGATGGTCACTATGGTCCATTGATTTTTCACTGCTGTGTAATAGCACAGAGTGTGATTATATCATACTTCATCCATTCTTATTTCTTGGGCATTTGTGTTGGTTCCAGACTTTTTGCTGTTACAAAAACATGCTGCTTTGTATATTCTTTCACATCTCCTGGTGTAGATATACAAGTTTTTCTTAGGTTTACACCTGGAAGTGGACTTGCTGGGAAACAGTTGATATAATTGTTCAACTCAACAGGCAAATTATCAAATTGTTTGCAAAGTGCTTATGCCAATTTATGCTTTTGCCAGCAATTTATAAAAAAATCCTGTTGATCCACATTCTCATCAAGAATATAGACTTTTTAGACTTCTGAAAAATTTCCAACTGAATGTATCTCATTGTGCTTTTGATTTGCATTTCCTTGATTACTAGTGAATTAGGATATTTCTGTTTGTTTCTTGGCCTTATGTGTTTCTTCCATGAAATGTTTATTCAAGTTTCCTCTATTTTCCATCGGGTTGATTATTCTTTTCTTATTGACTTATCAGAGTCCTTCATATAGTCTTGAAACTACATTTTTGCCTCCCAGTTTGTAGCTTATATTTTACTTTCATCATTAAGGTTTATGGATTTATGATCCTAATTTTTGTAGTTAAATTTGTCCATTTGTTTTTCTTACAGTGGTTTTTGTGACTTAAGGAGTCTTTCAGTATCCCAAGGACAAAAAAGATATTTGTCTATATTTTCCACACAAAATTACATAATTAAAAAAAAATTAAGTCCTTGATGTATCTGGAATTAGTTGCTGTGTATGATGAGAAATAGGGAACCAATGTAATCGTTTTCCAAGTACATAATCATTTTATTTCAGCTCTCATGCTTACATGCTTTCTTTTAGAACTCTATAGTTTTAGCTTTTACATTTATGTTTATAATTCATTTTACACATTAAACAATTCACGCTTTTGGTGCTATTGCAGGTAATACTGTTTCATTTAATTTTCCAGGTGCTCACTGCTAGAACATGGAAGTATAACTGGTTCTATATATTGACCCTGTAGCCTCTGACCGAGTTAAAATCACTTATTAGTAGCCGGGCTCGGTGGCGTAGCCTGTAATCCCCGCGCCTTTGGGAGGCTGAGGTGAGTGGATTGCCTGAGCCCGTGGGTTCGAGACCCACCTGGGCAGCAAGACTTCATCTCTACAATAAATAAATAAATAAATAAATCAGCCGGGCGTGGTAGCGCATGCCTGTAATTCCGGCTACTCAGAAGGCTGAGGAGGAAGGATTGCTGGAGCCCAGCAGGCGAGGCTGCGGTGGCCGGGAGCGGCCACTGCACTCCAGTCTGGGCGACCAAGTGAGACTCTGACTCAAAAAAAAAAAAATCACTTATTAGTTCTATAGCATCTTTTGTAGAATCTCCTTTGTCAGATATATTGGCCTAAAATTATTCATAATATTCTCTTGTTGTCCCTTAAGTGTTGGTAGGAAAGAACTCCACTTTAAAGAGGAGGTAGGTTTCATTCTGATAACGGCTCATTTTTCTCTTGATCAGCCTAGCTGGATTTGTCAATTGTATTGATCTTTTCAAGAAAACAGCTTTTGGTTTTATTGATCTTTCTCTGTATCTGTCTTATAATTACATTTTCTCATTTTTTGTTGTTGATATATACACATGTAATTTTGTTATAACCTATATTCACTAAACATGTTACATTTCCTGTCATTTCTGAAATTTGCCTTAGAATAAAGACAACCATATCAGCTGTAAATACTGACATTTTTACTTTCTCCTTTCAAATTTTCATGACTAAAATTTTTCTCACTTTTTTGCATTGGCTAGTACTTCCAATATAATATTGATTAGACTTAGTGATAAATGGGCATCCTCGCCTTGTTTCCAATAGTAAGGTAATGTCTCTCTAGGTTTATGTTTAGTCTTGGTTTGAAGTGTAGTAAAATTGCCTTAGAAGCTACTTTCCTTTGTTCTATTGGTGGTCAACATGTCTGAGTCAGTGCAACAGAATAACAGTTTTTTAATTCCAGAACCTCTTCTTGTAGAACAAGGATCAGGAAACTCCTTGTTGCACGGCTTTCTAGATGTGACTTGTATTGCTGCTTCTATAAATATGTGGTATAACACACAGTGCATCCAATCTAGCTATGCCTGTTGAAAGCATACCTCTCTTGATAATGATTTATTTGGAGGTTATGTGGGCTCTGTGACTTCTCTCTTTTAAGGTTTCCCTCTAATAAATCCTATTTTATTTTACACAACATGGTACTAGAGGTGTGTATGCCATGTTATTTTTATCTGGATAAGGAAGTACTTTTTTAGTCCTTATTTTGTAAGAGCTTACTCCTTATTGAGTATGAATTTTCTCAAATGCTTATTATGCATTATTGAAGTTCTTATGATTTTCCCCCCTATAATTGGTTAATGTAGCAGATTTTTCTGATATCAAGCAATTCTTGCAACAGCCCAGTTGAGAATGGTAGTCTTTGTAGACTATCTAATCTGCATCTATGTTCATATATTTAACAGACTCATAATTTTCCTTTCTCCTACAATTTATATCTGGTTTTGGCATCAGTGTTATGCTGGCCTCATAGAATGGGTTGGCATTTTTCTTTATTTTCTGATCTCTGGAAGACTCTGTATAGTATTGCAATGATATATTTCTTGACACTTTGGTAGAATTTGTCCATAAAATTATGTGGGCCTGGTGTTTCTTTATGGGAGAACGCTTTAACTATTGCTTAATTTAAATAATCGGAGGACCATGTAGGTATTCTATATTTCCTTGAGTCACTTTTGTTAAGTTATATTTTTCTATGAATCTTATGTCCACTTCTCCTAAGGTTTCAAATATATTTCTATAATGTAGTTGATAGTGTTCTCTTGTTATCTTTATAATCTCTGCTGTATCTACAGTTATGTTTTATTTTGCTCTTTGTTTTTTTTCTTTTGAGTCTGGGTCTCACTCCACCCAGGCTGGAGTGCGGTGGCACGATCACAGCTCACTGCAGCCTCAACCTCCTGGGCTCAGGTGATCTTTCCACCTCAGTCTCCCAAGTAACTGGGACTACAGGTGTGTGCCACTATGCTGGGCTACATTTTATGATTCTTTTGTGGAGATGAAGTCTTATTATGTTGCCTTGGCCGGTCTTGAACTCCTGGGCTCAAGCAATCCTTCTGTCTTGGCCTTCTAAGGTGCGGGGTATAAGCCACTGTGCCCAGCCTATGCTCTGTTTTTCTTGATCAGTCTTCCTAGAGATTTGTTCATTTTATCAGACTTTTCAAAGAACTAATCTGGCTTTATGCTTTCTTTTGTATCTTTGATTTCGATTTCATTAATTATGGCTTTTACCTTTTTTGCCTCTTTCTTTTACTTTCTTTAGTAACATTTGTTATGCATTTCCTAACTTTTGAAGTTAGGTGTTTAGTTCATCATCACCACAGGACCCACGGCCTCCACTCACAGAAGAGACTGAGGGGAGGAGGGACACAGGCAGGGTAGAGTTGGGGCATCTGGGCTTGGGCTTGCAGCCCCTGTGCTCCTTCACATGGCTGGGGTGAGGAGGGTGTGGACCCCACCTGCCCCACCCCCGAGGGCCCCACAGAATCACCGAGGCACTGAGGAGGCTCACTCCAGACGCCCTGTGGCTGGCAGATCTGAATGTGGCTGGGGGTACTCAGGCTGTAGCCGCGGTCACATATGTACAGTGCCACTGAGCCCAGCCGGGTACCATTGAAGCGCAGTGTGGCATGCTTCACCTCCTCCGGGGGGCCGCAGTCTACCTCTGTAAGGGCACAGCAGCCTGTCATGCACCGTCCAGTAGCTGCCCAGCAACCCTCCCAAATTGCTTTTCCCTCTGCCCCCTGCTTGACCAGGCTGCAGAGCCCAGATCCATCCTGCTCCCAGCACTTTCCTAGGGGAAAAGTGCCTTGACTTCTGGGGACCAGCTGCCCTAGATGCTTCTTTCCCCATTTCTGGCCTGCCCAGCTCTGTGAGGATTTGGAAGGAATCCCATGCTTCCCCTCGAGGCCCTTTCACCTCTCACCTGCCTGGCACCGGCGTCCTATGTACCCTGCTTGGCAGTGGCAGGAGAAATCTGTGCCTAGGTCCTTGCAGGTTCCCCCATTCATACACGGACTCCGGAAGCAAGGGGAGGGAACTGCAAAAATGCAGAAGAGTCCTAATCACTGTATCTTCTCTGAAAGTTCCAGGGCTGCATAGGGGTGTCCTGTCTCCTGCACCCAGCTCTACCTTCTACCCCTCCAGGGCTTGGCCAGCCCTGCCCCCATGCCTGTTTTCACATCAGCAGAGGAGGGTTTGTCCCCAGTCTCCCTGGACTCCCACCCACCTTACCTATCTCACAGTGCCTTCCAGAGAAGCCTGGGGGACAGTCACATTTGTATTTGCCAATATAGTGGAAGCAGGTGCCGCCATTGTGACAAGGGCCGGAGGCGCATGAGTCTGGCTTCCCTGAAAGGAGAAGGCACACAGTCATTTCAGGGATCATGGCCCACCATCCCTCCCAGATTCCCCAGTATCTCAGAGTTGAGGGGTCTTCAGGAGGACGTTCCTGAGAAGCAGATTCATGGCAGTTGAGTTGGGGTTTGGGGGCCCCAGCTCAGGTCTGACTAGGCATTCCTGCCCTCCCCCAACCCCAGGGGGCGCACCGATCTCACAGTGCCTCCCGGTGAAGCGGTAGGGGCAGCTGCAGTGGTACTCGCCGCCTGCCTCCTTGCATGTGCCCCCATTCCGGCAGGGCCCTGAACTGCACAGGTGTGGCCGGGCTGTGTGGAAGGACAGAGAGAGGCAAATGAATGAGGGCCAGCATCCTGGCCCTGTAGCACCCACTCCACCCAACTTGAGTCTTCTCCATCCTATGCACTGCTTCTCAGCTTAGCCCCAAGGCCTGGCCGCAGCAGGGGCCAAGCTAGCCATGCACACACCAGGGTGGGGCGGAGCTTGCAGGTGGAGAACCCCACTGAGCCTCAGGTAGACCCTTTGCTTGCCTGTCCTCTCTTTTCTGCCCCAGGCTCTTGGCTGGGACCTTCCTGGAGAAGAACCTGCCCACCATCACAGCAAGTGCAGTGCTCCCTCCTTCCTGCATGAAGGGTATTTGACATCTGACCATGAAGGAGCTGAGTCACAGCTGATGTGACATCAGGATCCACAGCTGTCAACTTTGATTTTTGTATTTTCTGTGCAGCTGCCCTCTGGATGCTGGCCACAGGGATGTCTAACATGCCTGGGGGTTTCTGTGGGAGTCCTGAGTGTTCTGCAAGCTGCATGGAAGGGACAGGACAGGTGGGCGTAAGTGAGGACAGCTATGCCTGCAACATTCTTAAGGAGCTAGCTGTGTAAAATGTCGACATTCTCCATGTTGAATTAGACTTAGCAAAATTCTAATTTGCAGATTTTTAAAAAATTAATACAATGATTCTAAAATCTTCTTGGAAAAATGCTGAGTGGGAAATGAAGCCGAATTTGAGAAAAGCAAGGTAATGGCCAGGAGTACTGGCATTGCTGCAGACAGAGCAGTGAAAACAGTGAGGCACTGGCTCTAAAGAAATACAGCAGAGCAGCGCACCAAGCGAGGCTCCAGCGGTGAATGATTAATTGAAAAAAACAGCGGGTGAGATGAGCATAAGCAGAGATGCGGGCCACGGGCGCTCTCCAGGGTGCTGACCCGCCGTACCTTTCTCGCAGTGCTTGCCGTGGAACCCACGCGGACACTCGCAGGTGTAGGAATCATCCTGGGCTTCACAGGAGCCTCCGTTGAAGCAGGGGTCCGAGTCGCAGGGCGATGGCAGGGCTGGGGAAGTGGGGAGGAAGAGGGCAGTCCTGGAGCATGCGCCGCATCCCATATGAGCGGCAAGAGGCTGGAGGGTGCCTGACCTAACAGGGTCACACTGACATCCTGCCTGGGACCAAGGCCATTTAAAATACACTATGCGAACATTTTGATTCCTCCCAGCAGGCTCGAATTTATCATATTCTTGATTTTACCAGAACCCACCCTCACTCTTCTATGAGGTAGGATTGAGATGTGCTACATAAATGTCTTCATATCATCATTGCCAGTATCATCATTGTCACATTGTCATCATATATAATTACACACTATGTGATTAATAAGTTACTAACAAACACATAGTAATGAATGTATTTAATCAAACATGCCTAATTATGTATGCATTGATTAGGTACTTTAGCAGCTTGAGCTGGGGTTCAGGGAAGACACCATGTGGTGCTTACATGCTCAGGGAAGTGCTCTTCCACCTGTAAGCTCACATGAGTGGAGCAGAGGAGAGAGCTAGTCCTGTATTACAGACAAAGCTATGGAGAGAGGCTCCTCCAGGTTCAGGACCTCCTGAGAGTCAATAGGAGAGCAGAGCCCTGGCCTCTGACTGCCTCCCCAATATCTCTCCCTTCCAACACCCTGTCCCTGGCTTCTGGCCAGGACCTCAGCCCTGCAGGTCCTTCTCCAAGCCACTCACAGTGGCTGATGTTGTGGTCGGTGTGGCAGACACAGAGGTAGCTCCCGCCATATTCCATGCAGTAGCCCCCATCTGGGCACTGTGTGTTCATGTTGCAGGGTGTGGCTGTGACTTCTGCAGAGAAAGGAAGAAGCCCCATCCAATATCCCACATGTCTTCTGGGGACCTCATCCTTGACAAGGGTGGGGCTTCCCAAGACCCAGTGATGCCAATAGGGTGACCAGGTTCAGACACTCCTATGGCCAGCCCCTCCTGAGGTGGAGGTGGAGGGTCACAGAACCACTGGCCAAGGATCTGGACCTGTGGACCCCCACCCAGGCCCAAGCCATCATTATTACACTGGTTATAGGGATGCTCAGGGACAGGAAAGGAAGGGTGCCTCCTGCCCCATCCCTGGGCACCTACCAAATTCACAGAGGAGCCCAAAGAAGCCTGGGGGGCACTGGCAGAGGGTAGTGTTGGTGCCCAGACATCTGCCTCCATTGCGGCACTCACAGTTGGCGGGGATTCCTGCCACAGAGAGAGGAAGGAACCTCCCATGTGAGTGGGCCCTCTCTCCTGACCCTATCCTGCTCCTGGCCACCTTCCCATAAAAATTGCATTGTACACACACACACTCTCACATGTTTCCTCTTGTGGGTGTTTCTTGCATGCACATCCCATAGGAGGTCCCTCCCTGGGTTTCCTCCCCAGCCCTGGGACCACAGCCCCGGTAGCCTCAGCAACCCAGACGCACTCTCCCTGCAGTCCAGGCCCATGAAGCCTTCGGGGCATTCACACACATAGCCCTCGTCCGCATCCACACAGGTGCCCCCATTCTGGCAAGGGGTGGAGAGGCAGACGTCAGGTGCCAGGTGGCTTCCTGCAAGAAAAACAGTGGTCACTAGCAGATGTGCAGGGAGCATGGGGAGAACAAACTGAGGATGGGAGGTGCTGGCCTCCCTACCTGGTTTCAACAGCACCTGCTGGCTTTTAACCTCTGTTCTCAATTTGAAGTGGAATTTAAGCCAGAAGCTTATTTTCTGGAAACAGATTTGTAGTTGCTTTGCAGTCCCCGGGAGGCAGCATCTCCCAGCCCCTCCTTGGGCAGAACAAGAGGCACTGAGGGCCCACCTCAAGTCAGACATTGTTGATCAAACATCTGTTAGTATGTGGGATTTTCCAGGTGTCTTCCTGTTGCTTTCTAGTTTTATTTTGCTGTGGTCAGAAAACACAATCATGGAGTATTTATGGCCCACAGTTTGGCTTGTCATGGCGATGCTCCATGAATACTTGAAAAGAATGTGAGTGCTCTACAAAAGTCTGAGTCTTTCATAGTCTTACTCATTTTCTGTTTATGTGTTTTATGAATTCCTGAGAGAGTAGTGTTGAAATCACCATCAATAGTTATGGATCTATTTCTCCTGAATCATGTTAATAGGTGCTATTATAATTAGAGTTACATCTTCCTGATGAACTGATCCCTTTATCATTATGAAAGGTCTCCATTCCTGGGAATATTTCTTAAAGTTTAATTTATTTGATGTTAACACAGACATTCCAGATTTCTCTTGATCAGTGTTTGTCAACTTCTGTTTGTTTTTTTAAAGATGTTCAGTTTATTCAAGTACTTTCAAATTTTATCTTTGTAAACTAGTATACAGTAAAATTGACTTTTTTGAATTGACTTTTGAACACTTCTATGAATTTTAACCCATATATACATTTGTTCAGCCCTCACCACAACCAGGATACAGAACATTCCATTGTCCCCAAAAGACGTCCTTGTTCTATCTCTTCAGAGTCACAGAGTCCCTGCTACCCCTGAGTCCCTAGAAATTACTGATCTGTTCATCACTATAGTTTTGTCTTTTCAAGTATGCCATTTAAGTGGAACCATACAGTATGCAATATTTTGAGACTGGCTTCTTTCACTCAGCATAGTGCCTCTGAGATCCAAGTTGTTATATAACAGTAATTAGTCCTTTTTATGACCGGGTAGTATTCCATTGTGCAGAGGTCCCAAAGTTTGTCTATCTGTTCACCCAGTGAAGTATATTTGGGTTCCAGAGTGTTTGTGGTTATACATAGATATAATATAATCCTTTGTATATGAATTTTTGTGTGAACACAAGGTTTTCATTCTTTAGTATTTATACCTATGAGTAGGGTTGCCGGGCCACATTATAAACATATATTTACCCTTAAAAAGAAATTGCCAAACTGTTTTCAGAGTGGCTGAATGATTTTGAATTCTCACCAAAAATGTTTGACAGCTCCAGTTGCTCTGTATCCACAGCAGGTCGGTATTTTTTATTTTAGCCATTCTAATTGGTTTGCAGTACTATCTCATCATGACTTTAATTTGCATTTCAATAATGGCTAAGAATAATGACAAGAACATTTGTTCCTCTGCTTATTCACCTCCATACACCCTTTGTAACTAACTGTCTGTTCAATTGTCTTTTTAAAAATTGACTTGTTTGTTTTCTCACACTTGAGCTTTGAGCATTCTTTAGCTACAGGTCCTTTGTTGGATGAGTTTTGCAAATAATATGAGTTTTTCCCCAGTTTGTAGCTTGTCTTTTCATTCTTTAATCGTGTTGTTCACAAAACAAAAGTTTAAACTTTTGAAGATATCTACTTTATCTAATTTTTCTTTTATGAATCATATTTTTGCTGCCTTATCTAAGAACATTTTGTCTAAGAACAGATCACAAGATATTTTTTCTTATTTTTTTTCTAAAAAGTTACAGTTTTACATTTTCCATTTAGGTGATCCATTTGGAGTTAATCTTTGCATAAGGTATGAGGTTTAAGCTGAAGTTCATTTTTGGAATAAGAATGTCTAAGTATTCCAACTCCATTTTTGGAAAAGATCATCCTTTTCCCATTGAATTGCTTTTAAATCCTTTAAAAAACAATTGTCCATATTTGTGTGGGTCTAATTCTGGATTTTCTCTTCTGTTCCATTGATCCATGTGCCAATACCTTTGCCAATATCATCTAGTCTTGATAACTGTGGCTTTATAGTAAATTTTAATACCCAGTAGTGTGATTTCCTCAAAATTTATTCTTCTTTTTCAAAATTGTTTTGTCTATTCAAATTCCTTTTTCTTTCCTTATAAATTTTAAAACAAGTTTGTATCTACAAAAAAATTCTGAGGTTTTGATTGGAATCATATTAAAACTATAAATCAATTTGGGTAGAACTGACATATTTACTATGTTGAGTCTTCTAATCCATGAACATGGTATGTCTCTTCATTTACTTAGATCTTTGATTTCTTTCTTTTTTTTTTCTTTTTTTTTTTGAGTTGGAGTCTCACTCTGTCACCCAGACTGGAGTGCAGTGGCCGCTCCCGGACACCGCAGCCTCGACCTGCTGGGCTCTGGCGATCCTTCTGCCTCAGCCTTCCAAGGAGCTGGAATTACAGGCATGCGCTACCACACCCGGCTGATTTTTTGATTTATTGTAGAGATGAGGTCTCGCTGCCCAGGCGGGTCTCAAACCCGCGGGCTCAGGCAATCCACTCACCTCAGCCTCCCAAAGGCACGGGATTACAGGCTGAGCCACCGAGCCCAGCAATCTTTGATTTCTTTCATGAGCATTTTGTAGTTTTCAGCATACAAATCATTTAGTGTTTCACTAGCTTTATACCAAAGTCTTTCAATTTTAGCGGACCTATTATAAATGGCATTGTCTTTAAAATTTTGGATCAGATTATACCTGTCCAATGTTGGGGGAGCTCAAGAGTTATAAATAACTTTATGGAGTTGCTGTCCCAAGATCTATGCCCCACAATCTCCCCCGTACTTTCTAGTTCTCTGGGGTTATCCTTTTTGGCCCCCTGGCAAGAAATCTGGGGTTTTAATTGTCATACCCTGCCACTTATTCTTGTGGAGGCATTCATTCATGGCGGGGCCAAGTGGTAGGAAGACAGAGAAAGGGAAAAACAATAGTTACTCCACCCTTTTGAAACTATAGCACCTCTATTTGGAGAGGAAGTTTCCCCTCCCTCACAGTTTAAAGCACCTGAGGATTCCCCCACTTCTGCCACTGTTGGTCCTGTTTCTTGAGCCTGACTAGAGGGTTCATTCTCTTTTGTCCATGCAGATGCTTACTTCTGATTCTGAGGTGGCTTTGAGTCCAGGCTTGGGGGATACTAGAGCAAAAAAAAAAAAAAAAATGGTAAACTCACCACTAGTTCGGTGGTACTTCGAAGCTTGGTCTTCTTCCCCAATCCACCTGCTACTATTTACTTTTCAGAGTCCTCAGATAGCTACTCCATGCATTCTGTCCAGGATTTTGGCTGTATTCAGTGGGAGAAACAGGGGTAGAGTGTGCTTACTCTATCTTACTCAGAACTGGAAACCCATTTTATTACTTTTAAATTATCTGTCTTTACATTTTAGAGTTGGTTTCTTGTGACAGTATGTAGTTGGGTATTGCTTTTTAATCAGACAATCTCTGCCTCTTAATTGGTATATTTAACCATTTTACATTTCAATGTAACTATTGATATAACTGGATAAAACCTATCACTTGCTCACAGTTTTTACTTGTCCCACTTCTTTTTTCCTGCCTTTTGGATTGTGTATTTTTAGAATTCCATTCAATCTCCACAGTTGGTCTACTGGGTTTAACTATTTTATTATTATGATTTTTAACTTGTTCTAGAGTTTACAATGAATATCTTTTACTTACATAGCCTACCTTCAAACAATGTTATACCATTTTATATAAGGATCTTAAAATATACTTCCATTTCTTTCTGTATTTTATATTGGGGCTGATAACTATGGTCCACAGACCAAATCTGGTCTGCCACCAATTTTTTAAAAATATTTTTATTGGAACACATCCAGGTCCATTCATTTATGTATTGTTTATGGTGGGCTGTTTTGACTACAATGGAAGAGTTGAACAGTTGTGATAGAGACCATATGGCTCACAAAACCAAAAGTATTTACTATCTGGCCCTATACAGAAAAAGTATGCACACCCTGGTTAATGTTACTAGTGTCATATACTTTATTTCTACTTATGCTATAGACCCCATAATATGTTATTTTATTTTAAAAATAATCTTTAAAGAAATTAAAAATAAGAAGAAAAAGATTTTACCTAGATTTTATTTTTAACACTCTTCATTCCTTTGAGTAGATCCAGATTTTCATCTGGTACCATTTTTCTTCTGTCTATAGAACTTCCTTTAACATTTCTTATAATGTAGGTATGCTGGTGATTAATGCTCTTGGTTTTTGTTTGGGTTGTGTTTTTATTTCACCTTAAGTTTTGAAAAAATAGTGTTGCTGGTTATATGCTACTAGATTGATGATATTTTTTCTTTCAGTACTTTAAAGATGTTACTCCAGTGCCTCCTGGCTTGCATTGTTTCTGATGAGAAGTAGGCTGTCATTCTTGTTTCTCTGTATGCCATGTATCTTTTTCCTCTGGCTGCTTTTAAGATTTTTTTTCCTTTATCATTGTTTTTCAGAAATTTGATTATAGTGTGGCTTTGTGTGGTTTTCTTCATACTCTTCTTGGAAATGTGGGTTTTAGTTTTCTTCAAATTTGGAAAATGGTTGGGTATTATTTCTTCACATGCTTTTTCTATAACACCTCCTCCCTCCACCTCCATCCTCCTTCTCAGACTTTGAATACACACAGGCTAGACTGCTTAATATTGTCTTACAGGTCACTGAAAATATATTCTTTTTGTTAGTCTTATTCTCTCTGTGATACATATTTGTTTATATTTCTGTCTTCAAGGTCATTGATCTTTCCTTCTGTCTAATCTGCTGTTAATACTATCCAGTGTATATGAACACTCGATTTTTTTTTTTGAGTCAGAGTCTCACCCTGTCACCAAGGCTGGAGGTCAGTGGCACAATCACAGCTACTGCAACCTCAACCTGCTGGGCTCAACCTTCTGCCTCAGCCTCCCAAGTAGCCAGAACTACAGGTGTGCACCACCACACGTGGCTAATTTTTAAATCTACTGTAGAAACAAGGTATTGTCAAGTCGCTCAGATTTGCCTTGAACCCCTGGGCTCAGGCAATTCTCTTGCTTCAGCCTCCCAAAGTGCTGGGATTACAGATGTAAGCCACTGTGCCTGGTCCATATTTTCCATCTCTACAAGTTTCTTTAAAAAAAATCGACTTCTCATTATGTTTTTTCCTCAACAGTCTTGAGTATATGAAGCATATGCACAATAGAAGATTAAGCATTTATATCTGTTAATTCTATCATCTCTGTCATTTCTGATGTCAGTTTCTATTTATCTATTTTCTCCTGATTGAGTTATATTTTGCTTCTTTGTATACCTGATAATTATTGATTGGGTATTTTGGAGTCCTGAATTGTTATAACACTTACATTCCTGGTAAGGAGTATAGGATTTTATCCTCACACATGGTTAAATGGCTTGGGATCAGTTTGATCTTCTCATTCTTTTAAGATTTGTTAGGACGAGTCCAGATTACACTTTAGTTCAGCACTTATTTATCCCCACTACTAAAGTGATACTCTGCTGAGGACTCTACTTAATATTGGCCTTGGAGATGAAGAGCTCTCTCCACTATGGCTGGTGGGGAGGTGAATTATTCCCAGACTTGTTTGAGCTCCAGGAATTATTTAGCTTACTACTTTCCAGTAGTTTGTTCCCCAGCCTTGCAGATTTCATCCCACCCAGATATTACTGAACCAGAGATTCAAGGGCATCTCCTCTTGATCTCATGTCTCCCCCCACCTCCACTCTCCACCTCAGTAGTACCATCCTCTCTGGTATTTTGCTCCACAAATTCTAGCCATGGAACTTGAATCTGTCGCCTCAACTCACAGGGATTACTGGGTTCTGGATTCCCCTCCCTGCATAGTGGTCTGTAAACCCTAGGCAGGATATGGGGCAGTAGTTGGGCTCACCTCATTTGATTTCCTTCTCTCAGGGATGACAGACCTGTGCTATCTGTTATTCAATGACTGAAAATGGGTTCATAGATGTCTGGTTTTCTAGGTGTTCACAGTGAGGGGGAAATTCCCATAGCAGTTAATTCTTGTTAACCAGAAGAAGAAGGTGAGGTTTTTTTTTTTGTAATCTCCAATTTTTGGTCAACTTCCTGTCATCTGATTAGACTGTCAGTGTTTGTGCCTTGTAATGCAGTTAATTGGCTTATATTAGTGGTAGATGTGTCAATCTGTTGTTTCTTATTATTCACTTCTGCTTGCATTATTATTCTGTGCAAAACATGGTTTCTTTGTAAAAATCTTGTTGAAGCTACTTCTCTATTTCCTGACAAGAGTTTACACTGATACTTAGATAACAATCTGGGCAAGGTGAGCTGTGGCACAAAATGGTGGCATCAAAGCAGCCAAATAGGTAAGGTTCCCCCCACCCCTGTATTGCAGAGCCCCATCCTCCCCTCAGGACACACCCTGGCCACCTATGTGCTTGGCAGAAACTGATCAAAGGGCCCATGTTTATCTGTGTCTTACTTATGTGTAAAATTTAATTTTCTTCTTCTTCTTCATTTTTTTAAGAGACAGGGTCTTGTCTTACTCTGTTGCCCAAGCTGGAGTGCAGTGGCATGATCATAGCTTCCTGAAGCCTCGAATTCTTGGGCTCAAGGAATCTGCCTGCCTCAGCCTCCTCAGTAGCTGGGATTACAGGCATATGCCACCATGCCTGGATTTTTTTTAATTTTCTGGAGATACAAGGTCTCACTATGTTGCTCAGGTTGGTTTTGAATTCCTGACCTCAGTTGTTCCTTCTGCCTCAGTTTCCCAAAGTGCTCAGATTATAGGCATGAGATACTGTGCCTGGTCCCTCCTTAATTTTTTAAACTAAATGAACCTGAATAGTTTGTTTTCAGCATATTACTGGGAAGACGCAGCCCATGCAGCATCCACAGATGCTGGCACAGGGGGTGAACCTTTGGAGGTCAGGGCAATGATCATACACTAAAGCCCTGTTTTTATTTTATTTATTTATTTATTGAGTTGGAGTCTCACTCTGTCGCCCAGACTGGAGTGCAGTGGCCGCTCCTGGCCACCGCAGCCTCGACCTGCTGGGTTCCAGCGATCCTTCCGCCTCAGCCTTCCAAATAGCTGGAACTACAGGTGTGTGCTACCACACCCGACTATTTTTTTTATTTTTATTGTAGAGATGAGGTCTCGCCAGGTTGCCTAGGTGGGTCTCAAACCTGCGGGCTCAGGCAATCTACTCACCTTGGCCTCCCAAAGCGCGGGATTACAGGCTGAGCCACTGAACCTGGCCAGTCCTGTTTTTTATACTGTGGGTTGTAACTATGGCTGGTGGGGAGGTGAATTATTCCCAGACTTGTTTGAGCTCCAGGAATTATTTAGCTTACCACTTTCCAGTAGTTTGCTCCCCAGCCTTGCAGATTTCATCCCACCCAGATATTAATTGGCCTTATGGTTTCTCTAACAAGTCAAAACAAGCATTCAAAACAATAGGAAATAGAATAGAAAATAGTGGATCTCATCAAATGCAGTAAAGGTCAGTTTCTTTCTGATGCCCACGGCTCTCTCCCTTTGTGGTGAGGGTTCTAGCGTATGAAGGATGTTAAAAAGCCAAGACTCTCCCAAGCTGCAAGAGAAGCCTTGAAAATTTTGTCATTTATCCCCTGCATTTTACAGATGGAAACAAAGGCCCAGAAAGGGGAAGAGATTGCTCAGCCTCACACAGCACATTGGCAGCAAAACCAAGACCAGAACGTTGGTCATTTGCTTCTTATTCTTCCTGCGGTCAGTGGCCCAGGAGGTAGGCTCCAGCTGGAAGGGCTGAGAAATGAGAAGAGGGCAGAGACCTACCCACTCCAGAGACACATGTGGGGCTGAGACAGTGAGGTTGGAAAGGGGAGGGTGTCTATGGCGGTGTCCACTGCACAAGGCCATCATACATAGAAGACTGTGGGCACCTGGCCAGTTAGTTACCTGTCTCACAGTGAGGTCCCTCGAAGGGCTCTGCACACAAGCAGGTGTAATTCCCCACTAGGTCAACACACGAGCCTCCATTCAGGCACGGGTCAGAGCTGCACTCGTCCATGTCTGAGGGGCAGCAGAGGTGCCAGATTATGAACACCTGCACCTGGCATCTGGCCTTGGGTGGGGGCCCCTCCCCAACCTGAGGGCGGGTCACTTACCTGTCTCACAGGCTGCCCCTGTGTACCCGGCCTGGCACATGCACACTGCAGAGCTGTTCTCCACCTGGCACTGGCCGCCATTCTGACACTCTTTGGTGTCACATGGGGATTGGGCTATGAGTGAAGAGGTTGTGAACAGGATGTTGTACTCCTGGCTGTAGTTACCTGATGGGGCAGAAGCCCCTGAAGATGCCACTGAGTCCCACCCCCAATACATCTCCAGCTTGCAGAGAGATGGGCCTGGCAGGTGGGTCTCTGAGGGTGACAGGCAAGAGAGGGCCTAGCCAGGACATTCCTGACCAGCTGCCCAAAGTCTCACCTGAATTGGGTCTAATTCAGCAAGCATGGGGTAGAGAGTGTGTTTATGCTAGGCAGGGGGAAAAGGGGATGAATGGAGCGCAGCTCCTGCCTTGTAGGGGATGGACCCTCCCCGGGTGGTTCTCATACCAAGTG